ACGTCATCAATGGGCATCATTCGTAGAGTTGAAATGTGCCTCAAGCCTGTTCAGCAGTCATGAACCACGGGGGAAACGTGCAACGTCGTAAACCACAAACAAGAAGGCAAGTATGTGAGAGGTGTATATTTAAAACCGTGATTTTACGAGTGGTTGGACGGATATTAATTAACGATATTGGAGTCTCGATCAGAGTCATGATTTCTTTCCGATTCAGAAACTGCCAGAAATCGTAAGAAATTTAAATTACCAGACTCATGCGTGTGATTTGTTAAATAATGAAATGGCATTCGTAGGGACAAGTGCTCTCACGATTGTATTCAACAACGTTGAGACAGGAATTTTAGAAGAGGGCAGCGCGTTGGTGAATTACCAATACGAAGTTTGATTGAGGCTAGTTTTTAGACACTTCCTGTATGCTACAGTACTTTCTGAACAGTAAACGATGCGAAATGAAAGATGGTGATACTGAAGAAAAAAATGAACTGACAGAAGAGGCAGAGGAATGGGAACAAGAGGGAGGAGAATCTGGAGAAGAAGGAGAAAGAAGCGAATGAGGAAAGACGATAAACGTGGTAAAGAAGGAGATTCTAAGAATACAACACATCCAATGAACCTGTTATCGACTTCTGCCTTCTCAGAAATATCCGTTATCCGAGTTGTCCTCGTTATTGTTGACGGTCTTCTCTTTTCTCCTGTTGTGCCTCTACCTTTGACAGAGCAACTTGTCCGTCGGATCATGCAGGCGTGTGTCTCAGAAGTGATTATTTACAGATGTTAGGATAGCAAATGCTCTGCAAAACACATCCTCCTCATCCTTGAGGTTGAGAGTAGGCACTAACAAAGGTACGGCAAGGCACCTGTGCTGCAGACACAACCACTGGGGTCTGTCATGAACTTCGAACAACCCGATGGTCAAGCTTGCTGGTAACTCTGGAAGCGGAAACGAAGCGAACTTTTCGTACTTTCCAGACAACATTCTAAGAGAAGGGCATTTTCAGCACAAAATATCTCCAACAACCTGCAGGGCACTGGCTGCCATTAATCGCCAGAAAGAAAGCTACGA